GATAGTTTCCTCTCTGGCTTGTCAAAATGGTCCCACAATTTCTCATTGTTGTTAAATGTGCTTTTCCTTGATTACTAATGTGGCTGAATATTTTTTCACATGTTTATTGGTTTCTTCTTCTTGAAATGTCTGTTCATATCTTTCGGCCATTTTTCTGTAGTTCATTTGTCCCTTTCTTAATGATTTATTTTTTTCATAGACTCTTATATTTTTGGTTGTATGTTTGCAGGTGTCTTCTCCCAGTTTGTGGCTTATCTTTTTAGTTTTGGTGTCTTTTGATGATCAGAAGTTCTTTTCTTTCTTTCTTTTTTTAACTTTTTTCTTTTATTGAAGCATAGTTGACATACAATATTAGGTTGGTTTCAGGTGTACAAAACAGTGATTCAACAATTACATACATTATGAGATGCTCACCATGATAAGTATAGTTACCAACTATCACCATTCAAAGATACTAAATACTACTGACTATATTCCCTATACTGTACCTTTCATTCCCATGACTTACTTATTTTATAATTGGAAGTTTGTTCCTCTTTATTCCCTTCACTTATTTCACCCATCTCTGCATGCCCCTTCCCCATGGTAACCACCAGTTTTTTTTCCATGTTTATGAGTCTGTTTCTGTTTTATTTGTTGATTTGTTTTATTTTTTAGACTCCACATGTAAGTGGAATCATACGGTATTTGTCTTTTTCTGACTTATTTCATTTAGTGTAATACCGTCTGGGTCCATCCAAATGCCAATATTTCATTCTTCTTTTATGGCTGAGTAATACTCCATTGTGTATATGTATCCATCTTCTTTATCCATTCATCTACTGATGGACACTTAGGTTGTTTCCAGTTCTTGGCTATTGTAAATAGTGCTGCAATAAACATAGGGGTGTATATGTCTTTACAAATTAATGATTTTAATCTGTAGTTGAGTTATTGATATTTTCCATTATGGTTTTCACTCTTTGACTCTAGGAGCTTAATAAAAACATGAAACTATTTATTGATTGTCCATTGCTAGTTTGAAATCCTTTGAGAATATTTCCGGCCCAAGGTCTGAGTATCAGAGTTGGAGGCCAGTTGTGGGTGTCAGGCCCCAGAGTCACAATGACTCTTTTGGAGTTGTCCTATAATTAGCCAAACACAGCAGTGTGTCTCAGTAAATGTCATGCTTAGTTTTTGCTAGGTTTGTAAAAAATGTAATAAGTTATCATCAAAGAATTATATAATGACTGTTAAAGGCCCAACAATAACTAAAAAGAAAAACCTTAATAATTCTTAAAAGAGCAAGAAAATACATAAAGAAATATAAACCTGAAAACTGAGCAGAACTTCTGAAGCTGGGCTTTTAATAGTTGTGTTCAGGCCCCTGCTGGCTCAGCAGAAAAATGAAAGGGAAGCAGCAGAATTCAGTTCTTGGGGTTATAGGACCAAGATCTGTTTTGCTGACTGTCAGCTGAGGGCTTTTCCCAACTTCTAGAGACGGTAGCATTCCTGGCTCACTGCCCTCTTCCTCCATCTTCAAAGCCCAGCCACTGCAGGTACAGTCCTTTTCATGTCTCATTTCTCTGACCGGGTCTTTTGCCTCCCTCTTAGACTATAGGAACCTGTGTGATTCATCTGGGCCCACCCAGATAATCCAAGATAATCTCCCTCTTGTAAGATCAGTTGATTAGCAACCTTAATACCAATGCCACCTTAATTCTCCTTCCCCATGTAAAGGTGCAGGTTCCAGGATTAGGATGCACACATCTTTGGGGGTCCATGGTTCTGCCTACCACATCCAGTGAACTAGAATTTCACTGGGGTCTTTAACAGGTCATTTATCTTTACCTTTTATTTCTTCATCAAAGAAAGTTAAGCGACCTACCACAGAGAATAGGTGATGTTTACTGAGCACTACTTGCTGTGAGTTTAGCCCTGGGCACTGAACTGTTTGCTAAACTCTTTGCTCACTAGAGTCTGTGAGGCAGGTTCTATTATTAGCACTGTTTCACAAATGAGGAAATTGCATTTTGGAGAAGTTAAGTACTTAATCTGTATAGTTCAACTGGTGAGGAGCTCAAACATTTCAGTGGGCTGCTGTAGTCAAAGGTTTAGCTGGAAATCCCCCTTCACGTGGCAGTGCATACTAATTAGAAATACATGTTCCAATTAAAACGTCTTGTTTTGATACTAGAAATTACCTTTCATGTTTGTGGACATGGTAAGAAAATTGATTTTCTACTATAGCCTAGCCAAGTTGACACATAAAACTAACCATCACAGTGCTGTTTAGTTTATTACTCTAGCCTGTGCAGTCCAAGATGGTAGCCATTAGCTATTGAGTACTTGATGTAGCTAGTCTGGATTGAGATGTGCTGTAAATTTAAATTCACACCAAATTTAGAAGACTTGGTACAAATAAAAAGAATGTAAGTCATCTCATTATTTTTATTCTGATTGGTTTTTATATAATCATTATATGTTGAAATAATAGTATTTTAGATATGTTGGGTTAAATAACATGTATTAGTTACTAAAAAATACCAACAAAACCTGATATATATTAAAATTGGATTATAAAGAGAACGACTGAGTTCTAAAATATTTTAAGTAAAACTCTGAAAATGCAAAAAAAATTTAGTTTCTGGCTTGTGCTAAATCACGAACTGTCTTTGAAGTAAGAATGTGTTTTTTTCTGAGATCATGGCAGTTTCTGCCAAGAGAGATTTGATTTGTAATAGGGTGGGTGGGCTCAATATTTCTTTAGTGAGATATTTAACTGTCATGTTTTATTATACTGTAAGTGATATGTAACCAAACAAGAATTTCCTAGCAACTGAGTTGTTTTCCTCAACCAGAAGAATGTTTTTATGTGCTCATTTTCTTAATGTCCAAAGGATAAATAAACTCATGAATTTAGCATCTTGTATTTTTGAGATTGAGATGCTGGTAAGTATAGAAAGTAGAGTAGATATAAATATCACTAGAAGTACTTTGCAAGCATTTTGTTAAGGTAATTCAGACCTAAAATACATTTAACTAGGTAGAGAACCACATGGTTTTTATGACAGACCCAATTGTTGAACATGAATATCTCACTTACCTTCATAAGCCTCTACTTATCTCTTCTTGTTCTTCATTAAGTACATACTCAAACTTTTTTTTATGCTCAGGAGATCTCGAGGTTCCATCCCATTCCATTTGTTTATTCAACAAATGTTTAAATACTATATGCTGGGAGGCCTTAAGGATGGATATTGTGCCCTTGTGAAGTTTGTATTTAGTGAAGGATTCAAACATGCATGAAAGAATTACACAAATCAGGAAGTATATGGATGCTATTATGTGAATAAAAAAGGTTCTCATCTAAATCGAAGGGCAAGGAATAGGGGAAAGGTTTGATCTAAAAGATAAATAGCATTTAGCCAGGCAAAAATTGGGATTGGTTTAAGTCAGGGGATACATTTTGCAAAGGTCTCATCCCAAGAAAGAATTTGGCAAATTGCATCAGTAGGAAGCTCCTCTGGAACTGTGTGTGTGTGTGTGTGTGTGTGTGTGTGTGTGTGTGTGTGTGTGTGTGTGAAAGTGACTCTTGAGTAGTAGAGTAAGGTACACAGGCACTGAGTCCTTTCAGAGAACATGTGGGCCTGGTCCACCAAATTGTACATAGGGTCTCGTTCCCTGGAATTCCATCAGCAAGTGGATATGATCTGTAGATAGAGTGACTGTGTAGTTTATCATCTAAACCAGGATACTCTTGAGAGTGAAAGGGGGCACTGTTAATTATGCTGGGACATTGGGTATAAAGCACTATGACTCAGGCAAGCCAGGTGTCTGATAACTGTGTTTAGTGACCAGTTCTCAGCCATTCCTGTAAGCCTGAAGTTGCCTAGAAACCATGCTCTGCAGTTACATAGTTAGTCCTGCGTTCCTGCTTTCTCACTCCCCGCCTCCTTCGGTCATGGGTGACTGAAAGAAGGCTACCAGAAGAACCTGCACCAAGTCCAGACCACAGATCACAGCCTCATTGCCTGCTCAACTGCAGCCTACTGATTTTCAGGTTGCCATCTTATGAGAGCTCAGATCCTTGATGTACAGCAGGTCTTACCAACAGGTTTTCAGAGTAAAAGTCTTAAAAACATGTAGGAAAGAAAGGCTTTAAACATTTAGTACATGAACGACATTTTCCCACTAGAAACCTTGTTACGTCACTTCTCATGGATGACATGACCTAATTATATGTTCCCAGATGGTGGCCAGGCAGAATGGGTGTGGTCTGATTATAACTCCTTTCACAAAACATGTTTTGTAATTTGGCCCCTATGATGGATGACACACAGAACAGAGTACCTACAGGAAGCATTCTCATAGGTATAAAACCTTCCTTAACAATGATGGTGGCATGATGTGGTAAAGAAATCTTTTCACTATTGATGTGATTTTTTATAGAATCAGCTGTTTGGCCAAATCTGTGTAGTGAAGAAAAATGGACCTTTATTTCCTGCCCTCCTCTTGCGTATGTCGCTCTAGACAGTAAGGCCCTCAGGGAGCCATATGAAGCCTTCAGTTTACTGAGAAATGGGTCACTGTGCATTCTAATAATATTTAATGTTTGCATTGAGCCAAATACTGAAGACAGGCTCTTTGAGACATTCTACTCTTTTTTTCAAACTGTATTAATATTTTTTACTTTTTATTTCACAAGCCAGGAAATGTGAAGAGTTCACCTGGGAATAAGTAGCATGCTCCATGCTCCGCCCATTTTAATCAGGTAAAGAGCAAGAAAACTGTTATTTTTAGCATTGTTAACACCAGCTGAAATGACTTGTCTTTAATTAATTAATTATACCAGTTTCAACTTTATGCAGAAATATAGGATAAGGATGATTTTTCATTCCTTCTTTAATTTCTGGGTTAAAGTGCCATGACTTAATTTAATTGTTTGTTCTTGAGAAGTACCTGGGTTTTATTGACAAGCTAGAACCCAACAGTTAGGATTTGTCTACAAAACTACTTCAAACTATTAAAAAATGCCTTTATTTCTTAGGTTATTTTTTTTCAAACATCATTTCACTATAGTAAGCACTTATATTCATCTAATAGGCATTCAGTAAACATCTGTTGAACACATGACTATTGTAGAGAAGCTCAAGATTATATAGAGATATTGTAAGTGACATAGGGAATTCATAAGTGTAATTATTCATTCTTTAATGGTTGAGTAATCTGAGGTTAGAGAAATTTAGAATGGTATCAGATGAAGTCAGAAAATCAGTGTGATTTCTTCTGGTTCTTATATTCAGTTCACCTTTTATTTTTGTTCATTCCTTCAATATTTACTGATCGAGCACCTGCTAAGTACAAAACAGTAGTTATAATAATATTATTTTGTGTATATATTAAAAATTATATACTAGCACTTATGATTGAATGGTAAGTAGATCATATTAAATTTGGAAACAATCTAAATATTCAGAAACAGGAAAATGGCTTAATTGTGGTATATCCATAAAGAAGAATGTTATTATGCCTCAATAGTATTTAATTGCATGGGAACATGTGCACAATTGTTAAATGAAAAAGAAAAAACGTAGAGTGAGGCAGTTCTAGAAAAGATTAAAAAACAGGAAATACAACAAAAAAATGGATGTTATCTTGCTATTGGGTTTCAGCCCTGGGCAAGTTCACTATGGATTCAGTGTGACCAAAGAAATGACAGTAGAACATTCTTGGGTTGAAAGAGCTATACCCAACTTTATTTCCACGGTGGCAGGTCAATCACTAAAATCCCAATCACTCAGAGCGAGTTTGCACGCAGCAAGCTGGTCTCTGCCTCTGGGCATCTCTATCTGCACAGCCATCCTCTGGGCCTCTCTGCCCACACAGCTGTCCTCTGGGCCTCTGTCCTTGGCACTACCACCATGCCAGCCTCTGCTCTGCTCTCCTGCAGCCTTGCAGCTGTGCCACCGTGTCTCCCAGAGCACTGGGCAGGGCTCTCTATATAGTCAACAACGATGCATTGCCCACACATGTGTAGTGAGCTAGCCAACCAGGGCCAAATGAGAATCCTGGCCACAGGAACTTTAATTTTATCCACACTCCACTTCTCCAGGATTCTCTTCTCTCAGTCTATGTGCCCTCAATCCTCTGCAGTAGTCCCTGTGCCAGAAAGCTGGAGCATTGTAACCAAATTCCATAATAACAACAGAGGCCACAACAATGTACAAATAACAAAAATTACAACAAATTATAATAACCCTCAAGCCTGAGGAGATCCATTGCCACCAAGTGGTTATCCTGGCTCTATTCAAACCAGTTCTACTCAAATGAGTTAACCTAAAGGACCCTGGGGGGGCCTTACAATACCCACCTTCTCCAGTCTCTCCAGCAAAGTCTTGCAAACACACAGGCCGATCTTGTTGCTTTATCTCTGCCTTCTGCTTTGTCCTCAGCAGCCGGAACTGCTGCTCCGGTCTCAGTTGTTGCCACAGCTCCAGTCATCCAATTTCTTTCTGTCTGCTCGTGCCTTTTCCTTCAAGAAGCAGACAATATTTCCTTTTATTCTTGAGCCTGAGGATAGAAGCAGAGCATGGAGGGCTCCACAACCTGAGGAGGGGTCTGCACCTCTCCTGGAAGAACCCACAGTTGCCGAGTCCTTCTGGCTCTCCACCAGCTTTCAACCAGGTGGGGTCTCAACTGAGGAGGGGCCAATGCCTCTGGCACCAGCAGGGCCTCTGCCACTACCTGTTCGTCAAACCTCTGCTCCTCCATTTCTGGAGCTGACGGCTCCACTACATCCTTCTCTTGTCTCACAGCACCTGGCAGTCTGCGTGCTGCTTCTTCTCGTGCCGCTCCTTCTTGGGCCTCTTCCTTCACCTGCCCCCTGGAACCTGGCAGCCTGCACTCCCATACTGCTGCTTCTTGTGCCACTCCTTCTTGGGCTGCTGTTCCTTCTCACGCTGCTTCCTCTTGGGTTACCATGACATCCTTTACTATTTCCACAGAACGTGATAGTGACACAATCCAGTTAGCAACAAATTTTCTTTCTCTTGGGGTGGACCCCAGTCTCCACCCCTTCACAGTACCTCATGTCCACAGGGGGACACTCGAATGTCTCCCTGTCCATAGGTGTGGCCTGCTGAAACACTCCTTCCATGAGGGCAGCCTGTTCTTTTTCCTTGGTCACCAATGAATCCTGCCGACTACGCCAATTGTCTTGCTAATGGGTTTCAGCCCCGGCAAATTCACTATGGATTCAACATGACCAAAGAAATGACAGTAGAACATTCTTGGGGTGAAAGGGTTATACCCAACTTTATTTCCACGGTGGCAGTTGAATCACTAAAGTCCCGTTCACTCAGAGCGAGTCTGCATGTGGCAAGCTGGTCTCTTCCTCTGGGCCTCTCTACCTGCACAGCTGTCCTCTGGGCCTCTCTGCCTGCACAGCTGTCCTCTGAGCCTCTGTCCTTGGCGCTGCCACCACGCCAGCCTCTGCTCTGCTCTCCAGCCTTGCAGCCGTGCCACTGTGTCACCCAGAATACTGGGCAGGGCTCTCTATATAGAGTCAACAATGACACATTAACCACACGTGTAGTGAGCTAGCCAACCAGGGCCAGGTGAGAATCCTAGCCACAGGAGCTTTCATTTTATCCACATAAGTATATTTCTTGAGATAGTAGGACTATGGATGGTTTTTGTATTTTTTCTTCTATATAACTACAGTTTTTAATTTTCTGCAATGAATATGAAATTTTCTTTTACAATAAATTTTTAAAAATCATTGTTATGTTTATTATAAACATGGCTGCTCTTTAAAATTCATGAAAGCCCTGGGTTTGAGGTTTATCTTTCTCAAGCTGTCTCCATGTTTTTGGAGTCCCAGTGAGTCATATAATCTTAGAATTTGATGGGGGTCCTCTGGCTCAACTCTCAGCCTTGAGCATAAATCCCTTTTAGCTCTGTGTATTCATACTTTAACCTCCACTGATAGGGAACTCACCACCACCACCACCACCCCAGGGAAGCCATCTTTGGGCAGTTCTTATTTTTTGGAAACTGTTTTTTATACTAAGCAAAATATTTCTCCTTGTAATTCCTACACAATGGTCTGGATCCTCCCTTAGGGGTCACAGAAAACAAATTTTGATCCTCTTTGACATTATAGCCCATCATATAGCAACCCCATACTAGGTCTCATTGTTATACAAATCAATTACCTGGGGAGCCTGTTGAAAGGCAGAGGCCTAGTCCCATCCCAGAATAGGCATCAGTGTGCTATTAGAAGGGAGACAGAGGGTGAGCAGCTAGGAAGCCACACATACCCTCCAGAAACTTTACACTCAACATGGTTATATTTCTCTATAGGGATAATGAGACATGGAATAAAGGGAAATTATGTAAATATCCATTTCATTTTTCAAAAATGTTCTGGGCCAGAGTTCAGCTTACTGTATATGCAGCGTTGATTTCATTCTTAATTTTTTTAGATCTTTATTGGACATGTAGCTTCTAATTATAAAAGTGGTACTTATTTGTCATAAAGACTTTTTTTAGCTATTTTTCAAGCTTGTCTTGTGCTCTGTGCCTTTCCCAGAGATAATTTCTCTTAACAGTTTGGTATAGTGTTTCAGACTTTTTTCTCTATGTGTGAATATGTATGTATACACACCATACACACACACTCACACATCCACATATGCCTTTGACTTTTTGACAGAATGAGATCATATTCCCTGTATTGTTTTGCAAGTATACTGAAAGATCCATAAGGGCACATATCTCAGTTTTATTATCACACCTAAAGAAATTAACACTAATTCCTTAATATCATCTGGTATCCAGACAGTATGCAGATTTCCCTGGTTTCATTAATAACTTTCTAATGTTGGTTTGTTTGAATCAGGATCCAAACAAGATCTGCATATTGCTTTTGAGTGATAGTTCTCTTAAGTCCCTTTTAAACGGTAATGGTTTCTTCTCTCTCATTTTCCCTTGGCATTTGTTTATTGAAAAGCCAGGCTTATTTGTCTTTTAGAATTTCCCATGTTCTGGCTGTGGCTGGGTGCATCCATTTAGTGTCATTGTGTTTATCTCTTGGTTCCTGTCATCTGTGCATTCCCTACAAACTGATAGTTTGGATCTGAAGGCTTAATAAGATTTAGGTTCAGTTTTTTGGTAAGAATATTTCATAGATGTCGACTATATCAATTAACTTGCTTTTTTCACTTAATATATCATGTATATCTTTCCCTGTTGGTCCTTATAGATGTATCTCATTCCTCCTTCGGCTGCTTAATAATTTCCTAGGAGGACTATCATAGTCTATTGAATCTTTATTAACATAGGCTGTTTCTAGTTTGTAGTTTTCAACAATGCAGTAAATCTATTGAATTCTTAGAGAAGTCCCAAACAGATTAATAAACTGAGTTAGGAAAGGTAAGCTAATGGTTTACATTTGTAAGAATTTTTGGTTTTATATTAAAAGATCAAGTGAGTAGTTACTGCCTCTAAAATATTGATAAGCCTCTAATCACTAAGTAGATTAACTGCATATGGGGGAAAAGCAATCTGGAGAGGAGTTCATGTGTCTTTGGTGTGCCTTTGGATTGATGTGTTTCATTCTACAAAAGAAAGAGGAGGTGAAGTAGTGAGGAAAGGTGTATGTCACACTGACAAATGATGTAATCAGGCTCTCCAGCAGATAGATGGAAATGTAGTTGTTTGGTTTTCACAAGGGGAGAGATGTGGTGTGTGCAGTGCCATTTAGGCATTTTTTAATTCTTCCATCCATCCATTTGTTTAATTATGTACGAATACACAGCCGGTTGAGAATCTGAATGTAGTATTGATGAAAGACAAAACCTTTCTCATATTTAGTTTACCCATCTATAAAATGGGAATAATTACAGTTTTCCCTGGCTCATTATGATCCCCATGGTCATATAATGATAATGTAAATATTTGATATGGTTTCTGTTTAAACAAAGATTTTTCACAATGCAAAATTTTAGAGTCATTATAATTTTTTTCTGGCACAGTTTACTTACGTTTTCTTTTTCTTTTAGTTACAGGTAAACATTGGAAACACCATACAGTAAAGCAGTATTTCCAGAAAAATGGCAGAGAAGTCAGTATTGAATGCAGTAAATTGGCTTACTTCTTCAGGAAAAACTACACTAGACCTCTTGGTTATCTTGGGTAATGCCATTCTACAGGTGGATTAATCTGAAATCCTTTCACCTAGAGATAATGTGCAAGTCTTAGAACTCCTCATTCTCATGTTGCTATTTATGTATATAATTAAAATTCCACGTTCAAAAAAAGTCCTCCTTTTTTCCTGATATTGAGTGACAGTTTAAGTATATCTGGTGCTCATGTGTGGGGTGTGTGTGTGTGTGTGTGTGTGTGTGTGTGTGGTGGAGTGTGTTTGTGTGGTGTATGTCCCTGAGTGTGTGAGAAAGAAAACTGTTAACTCTTCTTAGGGCAGTATCAGCTGGCATCCTGCAGAGTCTGAGCCCTGTAGTAGAGTCAAGTCGAGAAGAGTGGCTCTGGAGCTGAGATGATGCTTCTTCAGGAGCCAGCACAGGGAAGAAAACTTGTGTAATAGTTTGCCTGGCACTGTAGAAGTCATACAAAAGGAAACAGTGACTGTGACCCCTGTTGTATGCTGTTGCCTCCCAGCTTGTACAGACCTTCTGGTTCTTGATCACTAGTGGCAGACTCATAACAAAGTAACCTCTGTCCCCTGCCAGTGGAGAAATGATAAGTGGTTGTGTGTGTTGGTTGTCTGTATGTAGGCCTTGTATTCATTTGTGTGGCCCCTGAGTGCACAGCTCATTGAGCTTCCGTATTCCCAATGCTGGTAGGAACAGCAGGAGCCTCTTTGACTTGTCAGCCAGCCAGGAAGGATGGTAGGGGAACAGTATGTAGAAGAGAATTGAGAATTTCTTGTTTTCAATCAGATTCAGAAATTAAACATTGTTTTTTTTCTTCTATTGTCAATTTACTTCCTAACTGTTGACTTTTCAGAATTGATAACAGTTGGAAAGATAGCAATACACAAATGGAACACTCACATGTTAATGTTAAATACATGTAATACAGCCAAAACGGCAGGAATGGTGCCAACATTGTTACCGGATTAATGAGCTAAAGCAAATTTGTGCCTAGAATAATTTGTGCCTGCATGGTAAAGAACATTCCCTGCAAAGTCCCGGAAGTTACTCAAAAAGAACTATGCTGATTAAGTTACAGATAAGGTGGACTGAGATTCATTGTTTTCTTATAAGGAGAAATGGTCATAAAAAACAGATTTATAATTTTTTTTTTTATTTTTTTTTATGTTTTTTTTTTTTTTTTTTATTTTATTTTTATTTTTTTTATTTCTATATTATTTTTTTTTTTTATTATTTTATTATTTTTTTTGTTTTTT